CTTTTCAATCACATTAATGGTAATTTTATATAACTAGAGAAAACAGTTTTATTTTGATTGAACTTCGTTTTTAGCTAAATTTACTTGCAATAAATAAAGCAACCCATATTCTAGTGTTCGTAATAAATTACAAAAAAATTTAAAACTTAATTCGTCGTTTTGCAATGTCCTTACAACAAATATATGTATATACAATTGATCCCTTTCATACATAGTTGGTTTCAGGTTTACTGTTTTCATAAATTAAGAATTTTTATCCTATCTGTCGGAAATTTTCCCTCTAGCCATTATAAAAGTGCTGGGGATTTAGCGCCAACTTTTGTATGTTGTCAGTTATATGAATATTTTAAAATGGTTTTTTACTTGATAATAAAATTTCACGTACATGTCATCATAGGCAGTGCTTCTAATAAAAAAAAATAGTAAATTTCGAAACAACTATTGCGAGATCATGAATTACGAAGAAACAAAGTTTAAATCCACAATAACAGAACAACACCAAATGTAGAGGGATACACGTTTCGACACTTTCACGTGTTCTCATCATCCCAGTGTTTATTAGTCATATAAGTTTGGTGGTGATCCGTTATTGTGGATTTAGACCTTACTTTAAATTACTTTACATGGTATTGTATATTTGTCAACTATTAGAATGATTTATGGATTGTTTTCGTATACTGCTGGTGTGGGAAGGACGTCTTGACCGCCCATGAATTTCGTCTAATAGCAATGTTAATTTGGTCTTCATTGCATCAAAGCCACCTGAGAATTAGTTTTGGGAGGTGGGGTGGGGCTAGAAGCTATTAGATTTTGCTAAAGTGAAAATATAGTAATAACGGTCTAAAGTAGAAATGCAATAATATTAGTCTCGACAGTAGATAGTATACTGTAGCTTTAAAGCACACAGTAAAAGCGTAAATCTGATACTTTATTGTCAGATTCATCTAATCTTCTTTTGGGAGGGGGATAACGTTCGCGCGTGACGTTGGGAGATAAATGTTTTCGTTCATATTAATAATTTTTATATTTTGGCTTCTGCCGTATACCTTCATTTCTGGGTGATTATTCGTTTCACATCAAATGTATTGATGTTCTACTTACCGGCAAAGCAAACACTAAGAACAACAATAAATTTTGTAGAAAAAAATAATTCATTCTAAAGTTACTATTTCTTGACGTGTATAAACAAGTACACTATTCAAGAACTAACTACAAAGTAAAACATATTAAGAATGGTTGTATAGACAACGTAAAATATCACGTAAAACAAAGCGGTGACAAAGTACCTACATAGACAAACATTGTCAGAAGAATGAACCAATAACACTAACAAAGAATAATTAAACTCTATGAAAATAAACGATCCCTAACTAATGTTCATTGACTTCGTAATATACCCACTTTCAGCGTAAGAAAAGCGGTGAAAACATCCATCAATAATATGGGAAAACGGACATTTCACACCAACCGAACTCGAAACTGTATTACTATTCTAAGCCTTTGAAGCTGTGATACCAATCTAGAACTTCAAACTGTATTACCATTCCAATATCTGGAGCTGTGTTACCACTCTAGGACTTGAAACTGTATTACCATTTCAAATTATAAAGCTCTGTTATTAATCCAAGACTTCAACCCTTATTACCATTCCAAACTATAAAGCTGTGCTACCAATCCAAGACATGAAACTGTATTACCATTTCAAACTCTACAGTTGTGTTATTAATCCAAGACTTCAAACTGCATTACTATTCTAAACTCTAAGCTGTGTTACCAATCCAAGACTTGAAACTATATTACTATTCTAAACTCTAAAGGTGTGCTAAGAATCCAAGACTTGAAACCATATGACCATTCCAAACTCTAAGCTGTGCTACCAATCCACTGCATCAAATTGTGTTACCATTCCAAGAATCTAAAGTTGTATTACCATTTCAAAACTCTAATTCTATGTTATCGTTTAAGGATCCTAAAAATGGCATATTTTAGTTACTTTGTTTGTTTGCTTCCTAGTTAGAAAAAAGCTGCACAATGGGTTATCTGTGCTATGCTAACCACAAACATTTGTTACACCTAACTTCCAGAATGATATAGAGCAAACATGCACACTTTTTTAATGCAAATAATTTGTAGATAATAATGTAGATCTTCCTGAGGACTGATCTGTTCTTATTATATGTAGATCTTCCTGAGGACTGATCTGTTCTTATTATATGTAGATCTTCCTGAGGACTGATCTGTTCTTATTATATAGATCTTCCTGAGGACTGATCTGTTCTTATTATATGTAGATCTTCCTGAGGACTGATCTGTTCTTATTATATGTAGATCTTCCTGAGGACTGATCTGTTCTTATTATATGTAGATCTTCCTGAGGACTGATCTGTTCTTATTATATGTAGATCTTCCTGAGGACTAACCTGTTCTTATTTTATGGCCAAACTTGGCCATGTCCACTGAGTTAAACAATGAAGTAGAGTTTTAAGTTAACTTTCATAAAATCTGACAAATCGAAAAAGCTCAACCATTCGCATGATACATATGTTAATAAGAGAAATGAAAAGTCTAAGTACAAGACTTAACTCACCCGCCTTTTACTTTTTCCCAAGTTTTTCATCTTAAAGTGTTACAGTCAGTGAAGTTAAATTGGTGACATTTACAAAGAGACACTTGTAATATATTGTCAGAATATAAAATATATACAGTGGATGAATTAACACGACAAAGATAGAAAGCAGCAATCTCAAACAGTCACTACGTAATAATAATATGATCATTAATACATCAGTGATGTTCTTGTAGCTCGTACGAAAGAAATATTAATCCATAAACGTCCCACTGACTGCAAGTAAATGTAAAAAAAATATATTTGTTTGTTATGAAACACAAAGCTACACAAGGGGATATCTATGCTGTGCCCATTATGAGTATCAAACTTAGTTTTTAGCGTTATAAGCCTTCAGACTTACCGCTGAGCCACTGGGGGACTGCAAAAATAAAAATAAAATCCATGATATTTTCTGCGTTTTCCAAAACAACAATGACATCAAATTCAAGTATTTATATCACCAGAAACCGACTAATAATATAGAATTTTCCAGTTATATTTCTCTTTGTTTGTTGTTTAGCTCAAAGCTATACCATGGGCTATCTGTGCTCTGCTCACTGAGGGCATCAAAATCTGAATTTTAGTGCTATATGTCCTCAGACTTACCGCTGAGCCAGCAGAATACCCCATTATATGTACTTCACATATAAAAGGACCTTCCACTCAGGCATTTAATTCCTGTCTTCGGCTCTGCCGTTAAATCATTAACTTGGCTCACCGAAAAAATTAATGCCACTCGGTGTCTCAGCGGTATGATTGATTGTTTTAACGCTAAAAAACACATGGGTTTGATACTTGCAGTGGGCATAGAGGAAATAGCCCAGTGTGTGACTATGCGCTTAAATACAAAAACAAACATACAAAGCGAAAAGAAGTTAAATCACTTTCTAATGACGTTCATTGTAACTCATCTAACTGTCGCCTAATATTTCAACAATCAAATTATTAACAAGCATTATTACAGATCATACTCTTTACAGTTTCGATGTTCCATTGTTTACTCTTCTATCCTTCTAGAAGAAGAATCATTAAAACCACTCTGGACTTTCTCAGGAATACCAGTGTTACCTTAAAGTTGACGCGTTGACTGCTTGAGGTAACACTAAGATGCCATTTTCAGTATGGATAAGAAATCCGCTTACAAGTGAAAGATGTGCCTATGTTACTCAGGAGATAAATTGTGGGTGTTTTTATCCGTGTTTTTGAAACCAAATCTAAACTACCTAAGGTTAGAATAGAAGTAACATATAGTGCCGTTTCATTGTGGACATTCTTAGGTCTACGACCTTTACAACATTCTACAATCTTATGGGTTGTTGTTTTTTTAACACAGTATGAGAGTATTAAACGTAGTCTCCAACACTAGTGCTTCTAACAAACTGCCATTTATATACCCCTCCTTACTAGAAGAAACTACACCATTCTCATCATTCTGTATAAAAAAACTAAGACAAAACTCTTCTCTTGTTATAAAACGAGGAGTCATCCATTCTGAAGTGCATATAATTAAATCATGAACATGTAATAATTGATGCTCTAGTTATTTTCGACAATAATGGATATCCAACTCCTTCATCGACAAATCATTCGCAAACTTCGAGAAAGAAAAAAGAATACAGTTAGTTTGGCTTCCAAAATAAAAAAGTAAGTCATACCATCCATTAGAGATATTGTAACAAGTCAAATCTTTGAAGCAGTTTGTAGTCATGACTACCAGGAAAGGCTTATAATCCATTTTGATCTTCTCTCCTTGTAAAAAAACAGATCCAAGCCAAATATCACGGAGAAAAGACACACATATGGTTGTAGTGGCATACTGGTCTGGACTGGGATCAGTACTGGTAGTGGCATACTGGTCTGGACTGGGATCAGTACTGGTAGTGGCATACTGGTCTGGACTGGGATCAGTACTGGTAGTGGCCTACTGGTCTGGACTGGGATCAGTACTGGTAGTGGCATACTGGTCTGGACTGGGATCAGTACTGGTAGTGGCCTACTGGTCTGGACTGGGATCAGTACTGGTAGTGGCATACTGGTCTGGACTGGGATCAGTACTGGTAGTGGCATACTGGTTTGGACTGGGATCAGTACTGGTAGTGGCATACTGGTCTAGACTGGGATCAGTACTAGTAGTGGCCTACTGGTCTAGACTTGGTCAGTATTGGTAGTGGCATATTGGTCTGGACTGGGATCAGTATTAGTAGTGGCATACTGGTCTAGACTGGGATCAGTACTAGTAGTGGCCTACTGGTCTAGACTGGGATTAGTACTGGTAGTGGCATACTGGTCTGGACTGGGATCAGTACTGGTAGTGGTATACTGGTCTAGACTGGGATCAGTACTAGTAGTGGCATACTGGTCTAGACTGGGATCAGTACAAGTAGTGGCCTACTGGTCTAGACTGGGATCAGTACTGGTAATGGCATACTGGTCTGGACTGGGATCAGTACTGGTAGTGGTATACTGGTCTAGACTGGGATCAGTATTGGTAGTGGCATACTGGTCTGGACTGGGATCAGTACTGGTAGTGGTATATTGGTCTAGACTGGGATCAGTATTGGTAGTGGCATACTGGTCTAGACTGGGATCAGTACTGATCGACCACACTGACCTTTATGTCCTATGAAATGTCACTACGAATGCCATATGGTATAAGGATGCAGTCCTACAATCACTAGTGTTCCAAATTCATGTGTAACTGATTATAAATTTGTTCTAGCAAATGATAACATACTCTTCCACTGTGCTCAAGTTAGCCACTCCCTGATAGAAGAGGGTTTTGAATAAATGGACTGATCAGCAAACTCACCGAACTTGGACGTGAATATTTATGAGATGTTCTGAGAAAACATTTTTCAGCACATGATCAGATTCAAGATGCTCTGGGAAATCACTTATCAGCATGTGATTCACCTTCAAGTTGCTCTCGGAAGACACTTGTCAGCGCATGTTCAGATCCAAGCAGCATCAAAGAACTTGAAACAATTCTAATGGAGGAGTGAACTCCTATTACCCCAGTATGTCAACGATTCATTCAATTAAGTTTTCCACATCGATGATGACTTGTATTAGTAGCTTATAAGACTTGTTAACAATTATTTTCTGATCATTTATCGGGTTGTAGAATCTCTAGTACCAAATAAACATTAGTAGACATGGGTTTTGAAAGTACACTTGCATTCAGATCACATGGACTTATCATTCGACACTTGTTTTGCATAAAAATGAACTCAGAGTGATGCCACTGGCATTATTTGATATCATTAGTTGTACCCTATCATAGCTACTGTACATAAAACTCTGATTTATATTAATCATTTTGAGCAATGTTTAAGAAATTTTCTTTTATTTCAGATCTGGTAGAACCAATAAGATTATGAGAAATACTGGTTGAACATTCAAACAATCTGGACTAAGTTACAAAAAGCTTTTTGAAGCTTTAGTAATTCAGTACCTTTATTACAAGTGTTAGGGAAAAAAATGATCGCTAAATAAAAAAGTTATGTAGGGCTGGCTACTGAACTTGAAGTGAAGGAACCAACAAGATAAAGATGGAGGTGAACATATCACTTGATCCGGATAATGATCACATAACATGGAGAATAAAATTCCTACATTACTGGCTTCTCCTATTTGTCTATCGAAAGCTTGGCGTTTGAATAGAATCCCAGCATTCATCATTATACATTTCCTTTAGTTAACTTTTAAATACTACTTTTATGACTATTTTACAATATAGTAACATTTTACGATTCGAGATTATGGTTCTATTTGTTTTGCCAGTGAGGAAGTCAGGATGTGATCATTAGGCGGATAAAGTGAGAGGTCTATTTTCATCCCTATCTTGTTTCGTTCCTTTTTATAGTTCAGTAGCCAGTCCTACATAGATTTTTTATTTAGCGATTTTTTTTCTAATACTTGTTTATTTACTTTTCTTTATAAGATGGAGTTCGTAGGTTAGTAGGTTATAGAGTGTATTCTAGCATTTTGTAAATCTTGCATTGAATAATAATAATAAAATATATAGTCAAACATCACGAAGACTGTTTTGCTCTACCAAATGATGATAAAATTGTAGTTACTGCTAGAACTAGGTAGGGCTAGGACTGTTGAAGAAAAACGATGATGAACGAAAATAAGAAATCACGGTTTTGGCTATTCAGCGGTTTTCGACTATGGGACGCTCCGGATAGTTGAAAAGCGGCATATACACCTGAGATAGAGCGCCTGTGCCAGATAGCTCTTCATATCTAGCTTCTGATGACGTGTAGAGAAGAAAATCTAGATGGCTTTTGTATTGCTTTGATACGGGCGTCCGTGCCATCATTACACAGAGAGTGCATTCTGATACGTCTTATGTGAAAACTTGAAACTTTTGTACAATGCTGCATGTTGTTTGTACTAAAACATTTTTAAGACGAGATTGTTATGTAACAAGTGCAGTTTTATCTCTACAATACCATTCTACTCTAATTTTGATCTCTGTACTTATTACTATTTTTTAATATAACTAATACATTAAGTAGTAAAATATTTATCTCAACCTTCAAACACACAAATTGCACGTTTCTCGTTTTCCACCTCTGATGAAGAGTTTCCACCAGTCCGAAAGTTAGAGTTTAAGTGAACTTCTTTTTTTGTTTCTGAAGTTTGACTTCTCTGTTCAAGTGTATGTCACTAAACCATTCCACCACTACCTTTATTATTCTAATTTATCAATTTCACAGATTGGACCTTAGAATCAAATCGTTAATAACTAAATGTGTGGTGAATGAGCAGTGGGTAAAGTTGGCCGATATGCACCAGTATCCACACCGGAAAGGGAAAAATAATAGTCATATGGTGTTTCTACAACCATAGTGTGAGTATGTGTTTCTACAACCATAGTGTGAGTATGTGTTTCTACAACCATAGTGTGAGTATGTGTATCTACAACCATAGTGTGAGTATGTGTATCTACAACCATAGTGCGAGTATGTGTTTCTACAAATATAGTGCGAGTGTGTGTTTCTACAACCATAGTGTGAGTATGTGTTTCTACAACCATAGTGTGAGTATGTGTATCTACAACCATAGTGTGAGTATGTGTATCTACAACCATAGTGCGAGTATGTGTTTCTACAAATATAGTGTGAGTATGTGTTTCTACAACCATAGTGTGAGTATGTGTATCTACAACCATAGTGTGAGTATGTGTATCTACAACCATAGTGTGAGTATGTGTTTCTACAACCATAGTGTTAGTATGTGTATCTACAACCATAGTGCGAGTATGTGTTTCTACAAATATAGTGCGAGTGTGTGTTTCTACAACCATAGTGTGAGTATGTGTATCTACAACCATAGTGTGAGTATGTGTATCTACAACCATAGTGTGAGTATGTGTTTCTACAACCATAGTGTTAGTATATGTTTCTACAACCATAGTGTGAGTATGTGTATCTACAACCATAGTGCGAGTATGTGTTTCTACAAATATAGTGTGAGTATGTGTTTCTACAACCATAGTGTGAGTATGTGTTTCTACAACCATAGTGTGAGTATGTGTATCTACAACCATAGTGTGAGTATGTGTATCTACAACCATAGTGCGAGTATGCGTTTCTACAACCATAGTGTGAGTATGTGTTTCTACAACCATAGTGCGAGTATGTGTTTCTACAACCATAGTGTGAGTATGTGTATCTACAACCATAGTGCGAGTATGTGTTTCTACAACCATAGTGCGAGTATGTTTCACATCAG